GGAAAAAAAGTTGCTTTGGAAATACACTATTATCCAAAATAGTATAGAACACTAAGAACGCCATTTAATTAGGACATCATTGCAGGGTAGAGCAACAGACAGATTCCATTATTGGCTGCTGTTTAACATCAATTTCCTTCTCCTCTTTGGTTTAATAGCTGGTGGTTATTTTCTGATGAAATCTGTGCGATAGGCATAGAACTGAGTTGTAGAATTTTCACAAAACACACCTGATTAAAAAAAATATATATATATTTTACTCTCTTAGGCATTTCAGAAAAGCCAAATTATTTCAAGGTCTCCTATGATAGCATACAAATGTGGAGACGGACGAGTGATAGGATTGGGACGAGCCGCTTTGCTGAGGAAGCCAACTCAGAGGAATTCCGGGTTCAGAGAGGGAAACTACAGGTTGGCAGCAGTGCCCCCAACCCTCATCACCTCCTAATGTCTCCTTAAAGCCAATTCAGCTAGGGCGTTCCTTAAAGTGATCTTAGGGACAGTCCAACTCTTTCGTTAAGTCCACGGCGCAAGTGCTCCGCCCTGTTTTTGTGAGTTATGGCCCTTTATTGAGAGCCCAAGGGCACAAGTCCTGACTAATTCATCCCTTGTGGTCCTTCTCCCGAAGCACGTTACAATTGCCTACAACGTCTGCCTTATGGTTCTCGAATTCAAATTATGTCACCAGATTTTGTTTTCTGATTCATTTCTGCTTCTTCTTAATCATGAACAGAACATAGAATGTATTTTTGGGGTGTCGGACTGTCTTTGCATTGAACTTCAGAGATGTACATGTAACTAATAGAGATCTTAGCGTTGTCCGCCAGACCTAAATCACCGGCACAAAAGGGTTGCAGAGAACTGTCGCTGATAAATATGCTTTATGCTAGGACATGCTAGGCTGTGGCTTTTAAAGCGTTATTTAAAACTGAGAGTTGTCTTATGGCCGTGTATTGTCAGCTTCATCAGTTGTTATTTATTGCATCTGTTCTGAGCCAGCAGTGGGTGGTTATCGCGGGATAATTTTTTTTTCTCAAGCCTGCTTCCTTCTATTTAGGTTATTGAAACTTCAAATATGGGTTTTGGATTTATAACTCCATTTTTATGACTGGAAGGATTTTCATTAAAAAATGAAATAACATGTGTTGGAGGGTTGATCTTAACACTAAGAATTTAAAATAAATAATGGCGGTCTTGGCATTTCTGTGATTTTTTTTTTCAGATGAACAGAGTACGTGATATATGCCGCAGTAGTAATTAAGAACATGAGGTCACGGAGTTGAGAGGGAGCGGGGAAACTCTGGAGGTTTGTAGCGAGGGGAGGGTGTGACAGAGATTATATACACACACAGTGCATAAAATTTCAAAAGTAATAAAGTAAATGTTTAAGACATTTTTTAAAAAAGGACAAAGCCAGAAATATCCGGTTTTATGATTTGTTTTTGAGCCTGAACAGCACAGAAATTTATTTATTAAGTTTGGAAATGTTTATTTTCTAGCAGCCTTCTACCTCGCTTACCTGCTACAGAATTACTTAACACCACTCAGCGATTGCCCCCACATATCTAACGACCTGAGCAGTGGGGGCCCGCAGACATTCCTCGGCTGTAGTGCGGGAGCTCCAGACTGGAAAGCTGCGGGGATCGATCCGGCTAGCGAAAGTTCAAGAAGAGAGTGGCTCGGTGGGTGCAGCAGCAGACCTCAGCATAGCCTGGGTCGGAATTCCTGGAGGACATGATGCTGGCACCCGCAGGCAGGGCTTTCAGTGACAACCGCGGTGTGAGCTGCCCGCAGACTGTGCTTCTGCCCGTTTTACAGCGTGCCACCTAAGTGGATTCATGAGAAAAGAACACCAGGTCTTGCCTCCTCCATTCGCAGAGCATCAAGCTCTCTGGACACTGGGTAAACTCTATCACAGATTTTATATGGAATTTTATCATAGCGTTGCATGGATCTCTCTGGAAGTAGCACGGAACCACCCGTATCAAGATTTCCAGCAGAGATTTCAATGATGAATAGTATTTCCAACAGACACATATGAATCCGAATTCCTTATCTGGTTTTGTGCAGCTATGACAAAATACTTGTGACTGAGAAAATTAAGAACAACGCAAACTTGTAATCGCACAGCTTCGGGGCTGTGGAATCTGATATTCAAGTGTGGCCAGGTTTGTTGGTCTGGAGAGGCCTGTGTTCTCACAAGGCTCGGGCAAGGGATGCCTCAGCATTGCTTACAGCCTCTTTCTAAGGCCTAAATCACATTCACAAAGAGAAGCCCTAATGGATTACAGCACACCTGAAAGACATCTTTTCCCTTACTCCTCTTTAAAATCTTCATAATTTTTTAAGTTAAAAAGTAATATATTTTTTCAACTATTTGAGAAATTCATAGATTCACGCAAAATATTTTCATCATTTTACCACCCCAGTCTTCCACCTAGCTCTACTGGGCTCCACTATGGAGTCCCTACCTCCCCAATTTCTTGTCTTTCAAAAAAAATACCTTATATAACCCACTGCATCTAGTTTGTGGCATTGATATTGTCATCAGAGTGGTGCCATCCCCCGGAGTATATTCAGTCTACCAGAAGCCACATCCTTAATGAAAACCCTCTACCTTTCCCCAAAGGCATCAACAGCCCGTACGTTCTGAACCATGTGTGGGGCCTACTGAGCCTCTCTCCCTTATGTTCCACTATCGCCTGGCTCGATCTTCTGTACCTACTGAGCCTCTCTCCCTTATGTTCCACTATCGCCTGGCTCGATCTTCTGCACCTACTGAGCCTCTCTCCCTTATGTTCCACTATCGCCTGGCTCGATCTTCTGTACCTACTGAGCCTCTCTCCCTTATGTTCCACTATCGCCTGGCTCGATCTTCTGCACCTACTGAGCCTCTCTCCCTTATGTTCCACTATCGCCTGGCTCGATCTTCTGCACCTACTGAGCCTCTCTCCCTTATGTTCCACTATCGCCTGGCTCGATCTTCTGCACCTACTGAGCCTCTCTCCCTTATGTTCCACTATCGCCTGGCTCGATCTTCTGCATGCAGCCATAGCTGCTGCGAGCTCGAGAGTCCAGTGGTCCTGCCATAATCTGTTTCAATGGTGTCCGTTGGTAATATTTGAAATTTTGATGCTGCAGATTTAAGCCATGGTGAAGTCGGTATCCCAGTCTTACAATCTCTTCTGGCCCTGGAATCACAGTAGGTGGAACCCAGTTTATCTCAGGATTCATTTGTGAGACACTGACGTACTTTCACAAGTGGAAGGGAGTAATCCAAACATACTTTACCATTAATCAATGTAACTCTCTAAGAAGGGAGTGTTATGAGAAAGGCAGAAGAGAGTAATTTTTGTCTCTAGGAAAACAGAAACGTTAAGAAGCAAAGGCTTGTCTTTGCCAGACAGACAAAGGGGAGAGGGAGAGGGGGGAAGAGAGGAGGGAGAATGAGGTAGGGGGTAGGAGGGAAGGGGAGACAGGAGAGAGAAAAAGAAGTAGGGAGAAGGGGAGAGGGGAGAGAGGATTTCTATCCTCCCCTTTAAGGTCCAGGAAGAACTGGAGTACAGAGCTACTGACTCAACTGGCACTTCATATTTCCTTAATTCCAGAAGTTACTTTTTGGAGCTATCCTCCCTTCCCATGCATCATTGTCTGCATATTTTTAAACCACGTAATCTCAGGGATCCGTCCTCTCTGAATAGTTCAACTCAGTACCTCTTTCTGAATATTTCAACTCAGTACCTGTCAGGTATTCCTTGTCTTGGGTAGCATTGACCTAACAATTTTCTAGGGAAACAGGGGCTGAGCTTGGGATGGGACCCAGGACTTTGTGCCTCCCAGTTAAGGCTCTGCCAATGGGCTACATCCTCTGAATTGGAATGTCAGACCGAGAGAATGTCAGATTCCTTCTAAACAAATAGAAAGTTCAAGGAAGCCTGCACTTGGCAAAGTGGAAGGTATAAGGTACTACACTGTGACTGTACACTGTGGCTGACAGTTACATAAAGGTTCTAAGGGATGTCAACTCTTCTTCATAAACTCAAGTCTGAAAAGAAGAGCTTCCAGAGGAAGCCCGTGATAAGAGTTTGGGTGTATCGGATTCAGCTGGTCATGAGTGGCCAGCGCTTACTTCGTGCACAGGAACAGATATGGAGAACCATGAACAAAAAAGGCAGGGGGGGGGGAACCAAAGACAACACAAATGGAGAGTTTGCCTTTAAGCAACGGTTTTGAATGCTGAGTTTTGAGGAGCATGGTTGTAGGTATGCTGGGAAAATGGAATCAAAACAGTAGTTTCAATACTTACCCCAAGAAAAAGATTAAAGAGTAACATGGCAAAGGGTAAGTCAGCTTTTATTTTTATTTTATTTTATTATTTTTTTTGGCAAATACCTTTTTTGGTACAAATCAGGAAAGGATTGAGCCATTGGTTTACACAGACTGCACATGTGAAAACAAGGGTCTAGAGCACCCTGAAGTCAAGTTCTCTCTGGCCTTGCATCACACGATGAGGTATAGTTCAAATCCAGAGCTTGGCCCAGGTTTAACATTAACTGCTTGCTCGAGGCAAGCATCCATGTGTCACTTCTGAATTTTGATTAACTTCATGTCAAGAGATTGAGTAGTCTCTTGAATCTAAAGACCCCCTTGCAGGCTGCAAGATTTACAACTTCTGAGGGCAACATAACAGTAGACAAGTTAGTAATGCTATTGATGGCAGTCAATGTGTTCTGGGAAAATAAACATCAATCTACTAAGTAGGGTGACAGCATGAGGTGCCAGAAGACTGTAACAATAGTCTTAACAGTAAGAAAATGCAATTTCCCCTGCTGTGTTTTATGCCTAGCTTTATACGACTACTACATTATACAAATTAATATTTAATGCCGTTCAACATCACGCTTGTCAAGGAGTAGTAAAGGATATAAAGTGTTGCAAAATCCCACATCTTTCTGTTTGACAGAGGGTAATGTGGTTCATTTCCCTGTTTTTCTTTGCAGCTGCAGGGAGCTCCAGCTGGAATCCTCACCATCAAGGAATTCCCTCTTGCAGCACACACTGTTATGGAGAGGTGAGCCAGGGGAAGCAGGGTACCACCAAGTCAAGTGTGTTCAGATTGGATCTCTTGGACTATCTGCTGGTTCTGTGTGTGCTGAAATGCAAGGTTAACGTCATGCCTTTAAACACAAGTCTGTGTCATTTTTTTTCTTATCCAAATTGACTCCAAGACATATGTTTTCAAAGAATGGAGAATAATACGACCAAGCAATACTTTGCTAGTTTTGTGTTCCCTCGCCTGACAGCCTGGTTTCTTGCCGTTAGGGACAGGAATGTGGACAGATAGAGGAAAGAAAATGACGCATCTCATAAACCCAAGGGGAAGATGGTACTGTCTCACAGGCAGTTGATCCTTCGGGGGAAGAAAGTACATTCATTCCAGTTTTTAAGCTCTCTGGGGGGGGGTTGGGAACTGACATCTCCTTTGTTATTTGTCTTGATTTGAATCCGACTTAGCTTTCTCACATTGTGAACGAGCTTTTGCTTAGTAAAACCGTGCTGCCATGTGTTGGATAAAATGGGGACATGACTGGATACGGCCAGTGAAAGCAAAATGAAGCACAGACGTTGCCGTGCCCCTGCTGGTCTACATCAATCCTCCTTCCCGTGTGTTTTGCTCAAGCCGTCAGGGCCTATTGCCATCGTTCGTGCATATCTAGCTACAAGAGTTTCCTTCAGAAGTACATATCGATTCCTTTTATCTTTCCTGTTAAAATGCTTGTTCACTCTGTCTCTTTTCCTCTGCTGAGAACATTGCTGTGGCAATTTTAGGTCTGGTTGCTGTATAGTGATGGTATTTGCCGTCACTAACCAGATCTCTGTGTTTACAGGGCACTGACACCAATCACTGAGGAAGGGGGCTGTGATCAACACTAAAAACTTTGCTCCTCTCTGCAGGACAGATGAGGTCCTTTTATTAGACCAGGATATCTGGGATCTTCTTTAACACTCTTCCTTTCCTCATATCCCAAAGTGGAAAACCAGGTAGATATAGCACCATATCCTTAACCTCATGAGTGACCACCTCCAGGGACACCCCACACCTTTGAAATTTACTGCTCTTCTGACTCAGTGACTTTAATGTTGGTGACATCCTTTGGCATCAGTCCAGAAATGCCATACTGTATCAGAGGGCAGAAGAGAACAGTAAACTGTCAGGGAGCAGAGTCAGTGATGCTCTCTGCTGCTTAATGCAGAGCGACCCTCTAAATAAGTCACATTTAGATACTCCATACCCATGGTCACTTCTGAGCCAGAAATAAAAATTCTGAACGTGGATGTCAGTGAGGAAGCCTCAGCAATCTGTGGAGCCTCTGGTATTTATCCCTGGCATATGAATGGATTTTGGGAGCCCATTCCATGTGGAGGGATGCTCTCTCAGCCTGGACACATAGGGGGTTGGATTGGGAAGGTGTGGGATGGAGGGGGAGTTATGGAGTGAGAGGGATCTGGGACTGACATATGAAGCAGGATTGTTTCTAATCAGAAAAAAAATCTCTGTGGTTCTCATAGACCAAGATGAGTATTTTCTCATAGATTTTAAAAATCTAAATTACATGAAAATTTCTAGTAATTTTTCTGTTGCTGTGATAAAATACCAGTTAGTTGAAGAAATGTCTTATTGTTTAAAGTTCCAGAAGGATATGGTTGATCATGGCAGTGAAGACACGGGAACATGTGGGGAAGGCGTGATGACAGGAACCGGAAGCAGGGGGTAAAAACTGGAACTGGGGTTATATGCAGGTGCAGCTCCTGTCCCCAGTGACATATTTCCTTCAGCTAGGCTCATTCTCTTATAGGTCCCGTGACCTTCGCAGTGCCACCAGTTGGGGACCAAATGCTCAAACACGGGACCAAATGCTCAAACACGCGAGCCTGTGGGAGCCTTTCTCGTCAATGCACTCAGTTGTAACCACCATCTGAATTGAAGTGTTTTGAAACTTTTCTTTTTAATTTCAAGCTTGTTTCACATGTCAATCCCAGCTCCCTCTCCCTTCCCTCCTTCCCCACCCTCCCACCAGCTCCCCCAGGCCCCCACCCAAGCCCCACTCCATTCCCCAGGGAGGGTGAGACCATCCATGTTTTGAAACTTTATGAAGACCTTTTCAACATTTTATAAAACAACAAATTTAGTCTTACTGGTCTTGTTTCTGATATGAAATCTTGAGTTTTTGACTTGCCCTGATAACACATGCATATTTGCATAGTAGATGGGATTTTAGATTATTAAAGTCATCGTGAAAAACTATGTGGGAGTTTATATTTATATATTAAACAACAAGAATGTCTACTACTTTCTATCTGTAGGAAATGAATTCAATATCTCCAGATAGTACTTGCATTCCTGTGTTTGTTGTCATGCTATTCATATTAGTGAAAATGTAGAAACAGCATCAATGTCTGCCAATAAATGATACAATGTTGCATATATATTGCATATTCATTGCATAAGCATATATATGTATGCACACATGGCTGAATGGCTGAATGAAATGTGGCATTTTCATTAATGTGGAAAGGACTCAAGAACATTTAGCCATATTAAATAAGCCAGACATAAAGTCAAATATTACACTTTCACCCTCATATGTGGAATCCAAAAGCCTTTGATCTCTTATAAGTATGGAGAACAATAAGCACAAAAGGCTAGTATCTATAGAGAGTATGTAGGACAGAGAGAGGTGGGGTTGACATAAGACACTTTAATCCCAAGGCTCAGGCTTCATAGCTTGCCTAAGACACATGTTTCATGGGCTAACTGCAAATGTAGAAATTAATTCACAACAGTCCCTTGTTATATTTCATGGAATAACAAAAATCAACTTAAAGTCTTCTTTCTCCTTCCTTCTTTACTCCTTCCCTCCCTTTCTGTGTTTCTTTTTTATCACAACTTTCTATTGTCATTAAACAGCTCTCCACTATCTCTCCAACCTATGCAAGTAGGTGCATAGCTAAATAAATACTTACCACCATTCTCTCTCCTATCTGGGTCAGTTCTGTACATTCAGATGAAGTGTATCATCCCCAATATGTGATTGTACCACTTTTTAAGAGGTGTATTTCCTGGTTGTGTCTGTGTTCTGAATGTGATATTTCAAAAAAAGAGGCAGAAGTGTGATGATAGATGCCATGACAAAAACTGATACGGTAAAATTTTCTGGGGGTACCGATTGAACCACACTCTACCAGCTGCCACATAACACACATTCATTTACAGTTCACTTTATGACTCTCACCATATGGCTCCTTCGGTATCTAAAATTGTAGCAGAATTAAATTTTTTGATATGATTTTTGTACTTAGTAATTCTATGTGGTGTGTGTGTGTGTGTGTGTGTGTGTGTGTGTGTGTGTGTGTGTACCCAAAGCATGTGTGTGGTGGTCAGAAGACAATTTGTTTTCCTCTTCTTGAACGTGGGCCAAAGGACTTGAACTCAGGTTTTCAGTCCTGGCAGCACACCTTTACCCACTGAGCCATGTTGACACCTAGTCACAGAGTTTAGTTAAGAAAAATATGTAACTTAATGTTGCCGGATTCCCGCCTGGGTCCCCTTGCAGCTTCAGAGCTCCCAAATAAGCACACAAGACTTATATTAGTTACAATGCTGTCGATCAATGTCCAGGCGTTCTCATTGGCTGATTGTGTCTTATTAACCCATAACTGCTAATACGCATATTTTTACAAGGACTTATCTTAATGAAAGCGCCAGACTCATGTGTCCTCTCCTTCCTCTACTACATTTCCCAGAATCCTCCTTCTCTCCTAGTCCCATCTATCTTGGTTCCCTATTGGCCAACAGTGTTTTATTCATCAACCAACCAATAAGAGAGACATATTTACAGAATGACATCTCCCATCTACTTAATTGTCACATAGGAGGAATTGGCTATGATGGCATTGTTACTGATTTAGTAGACTCATTGGTTAAACTATTCATACAATGATTAAGAATAGATAATTTTTATCTATTAGAAACATAAATGCTGCAGTTTGTTTTAAACTCCACCATTTTGTTTTTTGCAGTTCATTTGTGTATTTTACCTATGGCAAGCATTAAGATAAGATGCACTTTGTGGTTAAACTTACAGGCTACATGGGAGAAAGCATAACATTATTGAATAACTAATATTTAACCTTTATCAGTGGATTTTGGGAAAAGTGTGTCTCTTTTGTGCTTATATAATAATTTAAGGTTAGATATAAAATGCATCAATTTTCCTGTACATAAATGATTTTTTTAGACATTTCTACTTCAGTTACAGCATTGGCTCCATTTAGAGGGATCTGATTTTCCGAATGGGGAAAATGTAACAACTACAAGAATTTAATAGTTTGTAAATTAAAAAATATGTTTCGTGGAGGAGAAGTGGATTGGGGGTTGGGAACAGAGTGGGGATGGAGAGGTGGCCCTGGAAAAGAGTGGGGAGGGGAAGGAGGACCAGGATATAAAGTGACCAACTGGCTAACTAAATATGTTTATGTACTTATTAAAATGTATGTTTCAAATGATGAAGAATGATTTTACTTTAAGTTAGAATTCTACATTAAAATTTCCTCTTCATAGGTTAGCACAACACAGACCAATCCTCACTAAAGCTCGCTGAAACGTATAGACAATCTCTTGGAAATATGATGTAGGTCATAAGTATCTTTCTACAGTATGTGAGTCTGGAAAGCTTACATATTCAGTCCCTGCTTGTAGAAAGGATGTAATATGTAACCCACACGCACAGAGTACTTGAACAAGGTATTTAACCTTTCTGTGCCTGTTTCTTCACTTTTAAAATGAAGATGATAAGTAACTCAAAGACAGTAAAACTGGATGGGAGAATTACTGCTTATATTAAATGCCCTGTCAAAAGAACCTGCTGGCTTGGCTTTTATATCAGAATGAGAGTGTCCTTCCGGGAGAGAGGGGACAAAGCTGAGATGATGGCTTTTGGTGGCTGCTTCCTTGGCCTCCACCCCAGAATTTCATGTAGGTTTCTTTGCCACATAAAATAAAAATTCTGAGTCTACAGCAGCCTTTGTTAGGCT